ACAGAAACACGAATCAAAAGGAAAGAGATAGAAGAAGAACTTGCCTCCGAAAGTTAAACTTCTTCTTCCTTGATCTTCTCTCTACATGGTTTTTTTCCTCCTTCCTTCCTTTTCCTCCTTCCCTCTCTAACTCTCTCTTTATCTCTAAAATATATCACGTGAATATTTCTAACCCCCTTTTACAACCGATATCTATATATTTATAGGCTAAATAAAATAACCCTAACCCTTTTCCCAATCTAAGTCAACTTAAAAAAAATAAATATTAAAAAAGTAAGTAAAATAAGTTACGTATATAATTTATGTATATGTTTATTAAATAAATAAATTATACACATTCCATTATTTATTGATGGATTATCCAATAATACTTAAGTTACCATAATATTATAAAGTAACTTAAGACATAACACGTATCAAATCTATGTATATTTTTATTATTTAAATATAAAACATATACATCAAATTAAATATTATTACCCAAGTTACCATAAAAGTAATTAATAAATTATTTTCCTTTTTATATATGTATATAATATATATCTATATATAGATATACACAACTATCCATGGGTAATAATCCATACACATCCAACCTCCTATCCAAGTAGTTCATGGGACCCAATTGGTTGGCCCATTACTACTAACCATAACCATAAAAGAAAAATAAAATAAAATAATAAAAAAAAAAAAGAAAATATTTAATTTACAATTAATCAAAACACCATTTAAGCACATAATCTAATTAAACAATTAACACATAGACAAATACAAATAATACATAGACACATAATCAAATAATCAAGTAATACCTAATTCAATTAAACACATAAGCAATTAGTCAAATAATCAATTAAATAATTAAAAATACAATTAAAACAAATAAATAAATACCGAGACTATCCTTTTAAAATTAGGGGTATTACATTCTTCCCCCTAACAAAATGAATTCTGTCCTCGGAATTCACCATTACTTTCTTCCATTATGCTTGGAAAATGTGAGCGAAAAACATCCTCCTATTCCTAAGTAGACGCAACCTCACTATAAGGGCTCCACTTAACTCCAATATACCAAGTGGTATACAGGGTTCTTATATTTTAAGAAACACAATAATCATACGATACGTAGGTTGTATCAAATAACAACGTAATCCTTCCATGTCGACAACAGAATGATTTACATACCTCCAAGTGCCATAGAATATACGCACAAACTCCTATGCACCCAGCGCTAATAATTTGGTAACGCTAATTCAGAGGCGACTACCTCAATTGCGAAACACAATCCTCTAAAAGTCAATGTAATAAGTAAAATTGACCTTTCTCCAAAAATCGCCTTTCTTCCTACATGAAAAACAGAACGAGCAAACTACTCCCTGATAGAAAAACTCTAGTATATGAGTTCAACTATTTACAACATCCCACTGTTGCCTCCCAACCGCGCGCAATTCAATACAAAAGGAAGTATCTATTTTCGACATATTTTTAAATGAAGTCGAGGTCTGATTGTACAAACCTTACTTCCATTTCCAACCAACAAATGAGAGGTATGCATTATAAAAGATACAAAACCTCCAAAGTTGTCACACTAACCTCCTTGTGCCAACAAGTGAAGTAAACACTTCCAACTGTCCATGAAAATCTAGGATATACGCCTCAAACATAGCCTTTATGGTCTAATTTAATCTCTCAATTAATTCCTCTGTCTATAGATATGAAGTAGAGCTGCTGCTCCAAAATCTTCATAAAGCTCTTTCGAAATAGCACTTTGCATCCACTAATATGGACATCCACATGCTATAACACCACTATCACTGAACTATAGAATTACTATGAAATTCTAAAATAAGCATCACTCAAATTTATGTCCTCAAGCGATCTTTCGCAATCCACCACTCGGATTCCATATGGAAAATTGAAATTCCAAATGAATGTCTATCCTTCCCACCGACCGTCAAACCTGTTTAGTTTAACTTCCATATTTGTTATAGGAAGTGGCTAAAGATTCCTACGATATCCGATGATCAACTTTCCACCTTTGTAACAGGTTTTACACTTAGGGTAATTATATATGCATCCTTATTCGTATCTGTTCACCAAAATCAACATTTGATGTCATGATGTACCTTCTAACCGTCTGAGCACACCGAGAAAAATTATAAACTTTCCAGCTCAGTCGCCCGATCGTCATATCACTATTCACATAAACTACTAAATCCTCCTCGAGTACCTTAAACTCCATCTGAGTAAGGTAATACCGTCTCCAAGGTCAGCTCCAATATTCAAAGTTGACATTCTCAAATACCGTAGTAATAACAAGTGTTATTATTGCACTTGTTATAAATGCATCTGATAACTCAACAACTAACCGAAAAATTTAAATATTATATCGTTTGTTGAAAGCATCCATTTACATCATTGCTTCCACCAGACGGAACTTGATATAAAGTGTGAATCACCACTATAATTTATCTAAACCGTCTCGTGATACATTATATTCGTATGAACTGAAATCCTACCAGTTCGAAATAGACAAGAATCAAGCTGACCTAATGGATCAGTCAACCAATATCCCATCCAGAATCCTGACCCTTGTGTAAAATCAGAAATCCCGCAACTAAATCTGTAAAATGCTCTCTCATTTCCACTTTAGTATAAGAAAATGGCTGCAAAGGATCTAGTGATCTTTGATGGTCCATCTCTACTATCTAATAAATATTAGACTTGGAGAGAAATCACTATGTCCCTTCTCCTGCCTATCGTGAAGCATCATGTTTCCACCAGGATGAAGAACTAAAAGTTGTGAAACTCAGTCCGTGCATACTCCATCCAATTTGTATATAGAAAGTACCGTTAGTCCGGTATCACCAGCTTTCGTCTGTACTCAACGTTTAAATTGGAGTATCTTCAAAAGAGAATTCTGTAACTAAATCAATTCAGTACTGATCCGTGATAAACTTGCCGATATTGAAAATCAATCAGTAATTCCATTTATCAATAGTCAACTATGACTTTAACTCAACAAAAGTCAACAAACTACGACATTTCCATACATACCATGCACCTCATCTTTATATAAGTATTTAGTCTCACCATCTTGTCTTTAACACACCATGCTTCTTTAAGGCAAGTTAATGACAATCTGACTTCTTTGTCTAACTTCAAAAGAATATGAAATATTTCTATCCTCTACATAAGTCATCAATTTCCTTGCAACAGCTAATTGTTGCAAATTGTGACTAAAAAAAATAATTCCATATTATTTATGGAAATGAAGATACTTAATTTCCTCCTCCATGTGCAACACCGGCAAATTCCTCCTAATGACACACCCTCTTGAATAAATTCTTGATTAAGAATTTACTAATGAATATTTATTCAGTCTCCTATCCTCACTCGGTGTCATTCCAATAAATACTTAATCTAGTACTAAATCCTCTTTCCAACTTGATAACAACTTCTGAAATTTTCAAGAAGATGTTCAGCAAATCTAGCACCTCTGATAATCATCATGGCGTTACAGTGATCTTTATTTACCACTACCTCACGCATACCGAAATATTAACAACCACCAATATCATGGTGTTGTAATATGATACGAATCCATAGCTAACGTAAAGTATATCAAACTAATCGTTCTAGATTGTTTGACTCGTAGTGATGGTTTAATTATCCCATCCCAAAACACACCATAATGACCCATGTCCAGGTCCAATAGATTGGCTAAATTTATATGTATCTACCAAATCATACGACCGTATACTCACAAATCTAGTATAAATAGCGCTATTACACCATGTTATTAAAACAATAATTAGCTGATCACACACTTATGTCCCCAACTAAACCACATACCAAATCCCGAGTAATTAACAAAAATAAAAATAAAAACACGTATGATAAACACAATAAAACAAAATATACTCCTACTTAGGATATCGTTCTTTTCAAAAAAGAAAGTTTCCTTTGAAATCAACCTTACTAGATTATTTCAAAATTTCTTTTTATAGTTTCGTAAATAATCATCTAACCTCGAAACATATCCTTTAAAACATAACTTAAAAACACAAATATTTGCCTAAGCAACTACTAAGGGCTTAACCCTCATCCTTCTTATATGCGGAATGTAAACTGTCTAACTTGGTTTTTTAAAGCAAATTAGAACGTCACAACATAATACCAATGCCCTCTTGTATGTGATTTAAAAATTATGTATTTCATTCTGATAAGAACACATCCGATCCCCAAACTCCTGAACAATACTTCTTATATACCTCTTTTAGAGATGATAAGAAAGCTTAATTATTTGTTGATTGATCTACCCCAATTCTACTAATAACATTCGCTATACTATTAGCAATTCAGATCACTTCGCGCGATCATCCATCTTCAAGATTTAGTACCCTCTCTATTGGATACACATAAATCTCCTCCATTAGGATCCTCTTTGGCTCCTACTCCTCGCTTGTCTCCTTTTTAAGATCAACTGAAGTTATGTTGGCCCCGATATGCGGTGACCTATCACGTACACCTAAATCCTTCCTTGGCTTATACTTTTAAAGTAACGCCAAACGAACCTAAACCATCAATCCCTAACACTGCCTTCTGGCTACGAAATCGATAACGTACTTCTTTACTCCTTTGGGTCTTTATCGCTTTCGCCTTGAACCCATCCTTTTCTTAGTGCCAACCATTCTATTACTACAAAATACAATTGACATCAGCTCCTCCTAACAAACCGTAAATAAAGTACAACGAATCCTAATACGGGCTCTAAGTTTTAAGAGACGCAACGCGAAAGTTACATAACGAAAGATACTCCAAAGGACACTTGAACCTGGAGTGCTCTGATACCAACTGTGATACCCCCAGATTTTCGAATGCGGGTTGGCCAGGCCCAAGCCCGAATACCCGAGAATATCAAAACAAATTGATAATAAACGAACACAGAATACAAAAGAATAAAGAAGAATAAATGAAATGCTGACAAGAAACTAAAATGATAATCTAATAATAAACCTCAGACTATATTTCCATTAATTAATAAACTCTTCTGATACAACTGATCTTCCAAAATACAACTCGGGAATCCATACTGTGTGGACCCCTAGAAAATCCAAACTAAACAAATGACAGCAATAACTGTCTAAATCAAGAAACTAAATCATAAAGGAACTCCTATGTAGCATCGGAAGAATGAAGTAGACTGATCCCCGCTCAGCATGAACAACCTCTACTCCTGACGAACACCTGAAAAATAATGGTGGGTCAGGTCCACAAATAAGTTCTACTCTATTACAGTCCAAACAGAGATCCGATACACGTATACATCCTAGTCAATCCAACAGTAACTAGTAGTCCGTATATATATATATATACACACTAAAAGAACCTCACTAGACTATAGGGTTGTCTCAACCTGAATAGTAGGCAACATGCAAAACGCACATATAATGGGCATGAGTACCTAGACCTACCAGGGTACATAACTACACTATATCTAGCTACACATCCTTGGCGATATACGCGCCCTAACCACTGATCCTGAGACTCAAACTCATATCATGGCACCATACTGATATATATAAAATCTAATAACCATCTTATCCAGTATAAATTAATCCTCTATAAGTCATTCAACTTGTTCAGCTGACCTGACTTGAATATAAGTAGGATTTAACATTTTAGTTAATCCATTCCCTTATATAAAATAGGTAGAACTTAACTGATAAGTTAATCCGTCCCTAGAATGCCACCGTCCCATACCGGTGCATTAAACCACACAATCCAACAATTGATGTAACGATTAAGGAGATACATCAAACAATCCAGAAATAACTATGATAATATGATATCAAGTTATCACAAAATAGGAATAACTTATTATTTATTTAAGTTTCCTATATCATATGTCATACACAAACTGAATCTTATACATAATGATATTTTATCATACCATCAAATAAGCATTCTCCATATCCAATTGATATTATGCATTTAATTTTAATTGTTAAAACATTTTAAAAGATTAAATTCATTCGTTTGTTTAAAACATTCAAATAGCGAGCATCATTATGATTGAGTCTATTTAAATTTATTTAAACCCAAACCTAGTTCCTATTTAATGTCTAGGAACCTTAGGCATGTTTCTACGTTCCATCATTCCACAGATATGAAAAATACATAATGTAAACATATAAAAATTCACACTGCAAATCAAATCAATATTATGCATTTATTAATTCATGACACAAGAACAGATATGAATCAATTTCATAAAACCTATGTTCTAATCCAATTAAACATGCACAATTATTTAATTTTATGTGTTTAAAAAATCTTAGAATTTTCTAGGCATGTACAGAAACACGAATCAAAGGGAAAGAGATAGAAGAAGAACTTGCCTTCGAAAGTTAAACTTCTTCTTCCTTGATCTTCTATTAATATGATTTTTTTCCTCCTTCCTTCCTTTTCCTCCTTCCCTCTCTGACTCTCTCTTTATCTCTAGAATATATCACGTGAATATTTCTAACCCCTTTTTACAACCTATATCTATATATTTATAGGCTAAATAGAATAACCCTAACCCTTTTCCCAATCTAAGTCAACTTAAAAAAAATAAATATTAAAATATTAAAAAAGTAAGTAAAATATGTTACGTATATAATTTATGTATATGTTTATTAAATAAATAAATTATACACATTCCATTATTTATTGATGGATTATCCAATAATACTTAAGTTACCATAATATTATAAAGTAACTTAAAACATAACACGTATCAAATTTATGTATATTTTTATTATTTAAATATAAAACATATACATCAGATTAAATATTATTACCCAAGTTACCATAAAAGTAATTAATAAATTACTTTCCTTTTTATATATGTATATAATATATATCTATATATAGACATACACAACTATTCATGGGTAATAATCCATACACATCCAACCTCCTATCCAAGTAATCCATGAGACCCAATTGGTTGGCCCATTACTACTAACCATAACCATAAAAGAAAAATAAAATAAAACAATAAAAGAAAAGAAAATATTTAATTTACAATTAATCAAAACACCATTTAAGCACATAATCTAATTAAACAATTAACAGATAGACAAATACAAATAATACATAGACACATAATCAAATAATCAAATAATACCTAATTCAATTAAACACATAAGCAATTAGTCAAATAATCAATTAAATAATTAAAAATACAATTAAAACAAATAAATAAATACCGAGACTATCCTTTTAAAATTAGGAGTATTACAGCCCAACGGATGATTCTATACTCAATTCTAATAATATTTATAAAAAAATATAAAAAATAAATAAATAAAGGAAGAACAAGAACAAGAGGAATTTGACCTGAACTTTCATCCTGGACTTAACATAAATTCAAGAATTCAAATCTCCAGGGAGAATTCAAGGAATTTTTTGATTCACCTGCGTTCCATATTTGCTGTTCAAGTCTAATGCAGAAGCAACAAATGTAAGATTTTTTTCTCCTTTTCACTTAATGATAGGTAAATAGAAACTCAAGTAGCAAGCAGATAGGACCGACAAGCATTGAATATATAGCAGTGAGATATTCTTGCTCAACAGCAGAAATAAACTTGAGAATACTTGAAAGGGCTATGTTAGACCAATACCTGCATCCCAGTTCTGATACAAACAAAATCGTCCAAATGGGAAGAAAGTTCATATGGGACCTGAATTTCAAGAAAAGAAAATAAATATGTGAGCACAAGTATACCACTACAGTAAGGCATGACCACGACTAGTTATTAGTTGTAACAGGGATATTTCTATTATAAATAAGAGACGTTGAACTAACACTAACAGTGCAAACATTTCAATAGGGAAAAGCGTGGATTGCAACAGTTTATTTCATTATGTTTACCCAATGAAATAAAAATCTTGTGAAAAAGAAAAAAGTTGTTCAAAAATTCAACATTTTTTTTAGAATGAGATTTACTTTCACATGACAACCTCATATGATTTTCTTTTGGCCTTTATCTGGTTATTAAACTTTTTCTTCTCACACTTTAAACTTGAACCATATTACTTTACCTTTTTCCTACATAATTTTTTTGGGAAAATTGTATGTTCCTTTTTCCAACATATCATGCCTTCCATTGCCCGTGAACAGAAGAATCCCTATGACTTTCCCTAATCTAGTTCTCACTTGGCGCAATTTATATCTAAATCTCATCTCTGTATCATGAATTCACCTCCTCTTAGTTTCAAGAAGTGGAACATAATAGTATATCGGATTTATTGGATTAAATGCCTAATATTATTCACCAAGTGTTTTAAGTACCCTTTGCATCCAATCTGTTTTCACCTATGCGTCACTTCATCTTATTGACTTATTCTACTTCAATATATTTATCTACGCAATTTTTGGATTCTCATGGTTGGAAACACAAATTTTCCACGTCCACAAACTCCTTTTAACTACAGTTGAAGGACAATACAAACAGAATATATTCAGACCACCCCACACAAAAGTTTGTCATATGTTCAGGATACTTAATTACTGATGACCTGTCTCTTGGATGAGAAATTGCAACAACAATTACCTGGGCAAACACTCCAACATTGTCACCAATCAGGAAGCCAAATCAAGTTCATTAACAGCATATTTTTACAAATAAAATGTAGGTGTCTTGACTCTTGACTTCTGATAGAGAGTTAATTCACCAAGCAAAGTAATATTTTTTATGTCCAATATATTGACTTGTTGGATATCTTCAGTCCTATTAGCCCGGACTTCATTTCATCAACCCAAATCGAGGCTATGAACATAAGCAAAAAATACATAAATATCATGTATACGGCAAGCATATGAATAAAAAAATAAATATATACATAAAAATCATGCATTAATTCATAGTAAAATACAGGCATGCATACTCAATTCAACTCAACAAAGCCTTTCCCCAAACTATTTGTGGTTGGCTACAAACATATGCATAAAATTTTCATATTTATTTTTAGAGAGGAAAGGGAGAGAGAGAGAGAGAGAGATGTGCGTGAATATACGAATAGTAATACTTCATAAATATATATATACTTTTTTGATTTTGGCAGGAATAAATACATATAGCATAGTATGTGCATGGATTATATGTGTAGTATGTGTATGAAATGGCAACATGTGCTGAGTGGGGTGGCCATGCGTCTATGAGGGATGGAGAGAGACCAAAAAAATTAATTATCTGATAACCAAACCAACACAGACATTAATCAAGCACCTTCAATGTTTCAAGCCGCATCACAAGGTTGGCTCTTGTGAAACCTTTCCCATTGTTTGCCCTGAAATTGGAATTAGATGACAGGACTATGAGATTTTTTTGATATGCATTCTAAATAAAGTAAAATGTGTTGAAGGATTTATATATTTATGTTACACCCTCTCTAACAGCTTAACCTTTTGGAGTAAATGGTTGTTAACATGGTATCAGAGCCAAAGGTCTCGAATTCAAACCTTACCATCACCCTAATTAAAATATTGAAAAACACATGTTGGACCAAAAAAAGGCCACATGTGAGGGGGCGTGTTGAAGGATTTATATATTTAAGTTACACCCTCTCTAACAGCGTAAGCTTTTGTAGTAAATGGTTGTTAACAAAATGTAATCAGAAACCTGAGGCTATAACTGGGGTCACTGTTATTCCACATCATCAACTTAATAGCCTCCTCAAGCCCAAGATAATAGCTTCCTCGAGCCCAAGATACTTTCTCCATCGTCGCACCATCCACTAGAAATTATGGAAAAGGAAAGTAAAATGAGAGATGGAGAGAAAGTAAACATAGACACTGACATTGTTGCTTTACTTGTCTATCATTGTACCTCCAATTTATGATAATTACAAATTAAAGTCAAATCCATTTACTTCAGACTACATTAATTGTGTAATCTAAAACATCCTTTGGAACTATATTGAAAATCAAATGGGATTATGTTACCCCTTCAGTAAACCAACTGATCAAGTTTACACAGACTACATTAAGATTTGAACATCCACTTAGCCCCTTGTATTCAGCAAGAAAAGTTGGCAAAGCGTTTGCCGGTGCCTAACCAGAGTTGGTGTCCTCTCTCTAAGTGAATGGAGGTTTACAACCACAGTTTAAAGCTCCAACTTCAAGTTAAAACCTCATTCATTTATACGAGCAGAATAAACAAACCGCTACCAAAGTTTACAAAAGTTAAGACTAAAACTAAAGTACTAATGCCGGCTATTAAGTGTTTCTAAATTCTACTTCGCATTAAACTTTATTTTCTCTAGAGATAGAACCAAATCCTGAGACTTTATAAAAATCTGACAGAACACAGTAAAAGAATAAATTTTCTCTTCTATAAATTCCATGGACAGACCCAAGGATTAATCAGGTCGTTTGTCATAGATACCTCTATGATTAGCTCCAGTTATCCTTGAAGTTGTAAATAGAAGAAAAAGATTCAACACCAAACTTAAAACTGGATGAGAATGAAGCTTGGCAAGAGCACGTGATTGTGAACGATCATTGCCTTCCACTAAGGGTAAAGGAAGGGAGTTATTTTCCTGCAGACTCAAAAGAACAAGGTAGTCATTACAACTATTGTAGTTGCCACTTAGTTATGCTTCATGAGTATATATTAAAGCAAAACTAGTCTTCTGAGAACCCCATTGACCATGTTACCAGCACCAGGTCTCAGAGAAACTTTTGCAAGCCTTAAATTCTAAAGATATACATGCAACAACCATAATAATGAACATTAGTGCCCAAAACACAAAATAAAGAAAAGATTAGCAAAACATAATATGTAAAAGGTGTATGGAACCCAGGTGAAATAGAAGTTAGTGGACCAATGCTAAGGACACGATGAAGCCAGTTTTTGGTATTAACACCCAGCTCTTGATCTACCTAGAAAATATGAAGTTCATCTGAATACTTTCTGAGTATTCCAAATAAAACAATCAAACAGGTATATGTAACCATCATTTTCATTTTTCACTTTCAAAAAAAAAAAAAAAAAAAAGAAAAAAAGTGTAACATTAAGAACCATCATTTGAGTCAGTCATTGATGAAGATTCCTAGTTAAGAGACAGAAAGGCAGATTCTAAAACCAATACATGGCTACCCTGTAATCTGTCAATTTCCTGAAACTGAGGAGTTATTTTACATCCCACTTCCACTATCCATCTTAGCAAAAATTGCTACTTAAGCTCCAAATTTTATGATTATTTTTAGGAACAACATTAAGTAAAAATTCTGAGAATAAAACCAAACAAGAAAAATTTACCTCATCCACTACGGCATATGCAGGCATTTGTAGCTTGACAATCTCGTAGAAACTAATTCGAAGAATCTAGAAACAAAGGTACAAAACTGATATTTTTTTTACAATTTTAATAAGCCTGAAACATCCAGTGTGTAAAATTCATCCTCTTAAACAACAATCAACCTATAGAACCTTTAGGTTCACTGCACATTCAACTTCCAAACTTTTTCACCAACTGTGCAGGCCTGTCATTGGATAAAGAAGTAAGTTTTTAACACATGGAAGCAGGCGATTTTCTGACATAGTTGGAATACAAATTCATATATCTTTAGATGGTCAGAATGTTTCTAAGCTTGATTCGAATTATCCTGTAGAGCTCCATTCAAATATAACTAATCACAGGAGCAGCATAAACAACACTATTACAAGTTATAGTTCTATAGCCAGTAAACTCATATGGTCATATGTCTGCCAATCTACTCATACAATTTGCAATTCAAAAAATAATAGTTTTCACATTCATCCCCATATAACCATGAAAATATTCCATTTATTTTACTTGCAAGGCAAATGTACCTGTAACAGAAGAGGTTCTATGCTTCTATATGTGTTCTCGTCAGGAATAATGAAAGAATCAACTGATCAAGATATATTCTCCAACGAATGGTGCCTCCAACGATGTCTCTCACCTGTATGATGAAAAAATAAATAAATAAATAAAAAATTGAAGGCATGCCATACCAACAAGTCTCCTTTCCATAAATGAAAATCGATCTATCTACTAGATCATCATTATCATTACCTTAATCCTTTTTGAATGGGGTCAACCACATGAATTCTCTCTCTTTTATCTTTTCTATTACATGCCGTTTCACCTACCATATTTAAGTTTTAAAAATCATTATTAATAATCTCATCTCATGTTATATTTGCTGATAAATGCAATGATAAAGCAAGGTGCAGCCATGTAGCATATCCTAGATACAAGTTTCACCGAAAGGAGTAGCGGAAGCACAATATATGATATTGGAAGTAAAGAGAAAAACCAGTCTGAGATCTATCATCCAAAGCACGGGTGCAAAAATATGCCATTTCATTATCACCCGAACCCTTCCCGCTCCGATTCAAGAAGTCAGCAAGACAGTAAAAGCACCACCGAGCTCCATACGCATTAACCTAACTGCCGACACGGTATCAGCCAAAAAAAAAAGTGCATTCAAGTAATCAGAAAACTACAATATACTCCCACACTCTACCCAACAATCTAGCAGAAAACAGGAACTATTACTTCGAGAAGGCAATGAACAAGGAAAACCCCCAAAAAAAAAAAATAAATAAATAAATTATCAGCTCTGTGAGGAGAAACCTTCAAATCCAGCTTCTGCCTTTTGTGTGCAGGATTGATAGGACCTTAAAAATCACCGTTTAAGCAAATTAAAACAACAAATAAGTAACTTGGAATCAAACTGTAGGTGTAGGGAATTCATGGCCATAACATTACAAAACAACTTTTCCAGCTAATTGGGTCCAACCCTCTGTTTGGTTGCTAAGAAAACTAAACAGAAAATATATATACACATAATTCAGGTCCCCAACAAAACCAAGCTACTTTAAATTAGGCTCGTTAAGGTGGATATTTTAGGGGTTTTTCATTGGGCTTACTATTTTTCCTGCAATTTCTTGGAAACCAAACATAAAAATCGAGATTACCTGTTTTACGAGTCGAAATTGTAGTGTTCGGCTCTCGGATTTTCTTGGTGAATTTTGATGGTTTGGAAGGAGGAGAAGGATAAGCTTTATACATTTCTGTGGAGTTAAATACTCGGACAAGGAGCACTAGAGCAATTTGATTGTGAGATTGTAGGGTTTGCCCCGAAAGAAGATTGGTGTCCTGGGAGTGAAAGAGGAGAGGACATACGCGGGAGAGACAGTAGAGAGGGATAAATGTCAGTCTATTAATTTTAAAAAATTTCGATAAATGTCAGTCTATTAATTTTAAAAAATTTCAAGAAATTTTTTTCAAAGTAGGAGTAATTTTGAAAAAACTGGATAATTTAGTCTCTCTATTTGAATTATTGCATTCATTAAAAAAAATTATTCCATAATGAAAGAAAGATATCTACCTGATATATATAACTCTGAACAGTTCATGGAATTATAATGAGTTCTCAGATAATTATAAAATATTATTTTATAATCTTATAACTAATTTTTAAAAAATTGAATCTAGAAAAAAAATTTATACAATTTTACTCTTTTCATAATTACAAACTAAGCCCGTATTAACAATATGAATCTTCGAGAGATGAAATGATCCGAATGGGAGGACCCGAACCCGATATTACATCAATGAAACGTTCAGTTTCAAAAATCCCCAAACTACATTTGAGCAAAGAAGCATACAATTATCGGGTTTTACGATCGGAGGTTCATCCATGTCGGACTATCTACCTCAAGAAACCCTGGTCGACATCTTCACAAGACTACCCATCAAGACTCTCCTGCAAATCAGGTGCGTTTGCAAAACATGGTACGCTCTAATCAACAGCCCTATTTTCATCACCGCACACATCAATCGAACTATTGCAAACACCACCACTCCATTACTACTCCTCAGGTATCATTCTAGGTATGGCAGAGTAGAAGAGCACTACTCGGTACATTGCGATGACGAAACATTTGATGAGCGCTTGACACTTGATTGTGCTAAAGATTGCTACCGCATAGTGGGTTCATGTAATGGTTTAATTTGCTTGTCCGATGATTTATTCGCCATGAGTGTAGCAGAGTTTACAAATGTTATCATTCTGTGGAACCCAGCCATTCAAAAGTCCGTCAGACTTCCGATGCCCCGATTTACAGACGACTCACATGGTCTACTCAGGTTTGTTCTTGCGTTTGGGTTCGATTCTCGGACTAATGACTACAAGGTTGTGAGAATTGTTCATCTTCACAATTCGTTTGATTTTGTAGTTCCGCCCGAGGTTGATGTTTATGAGCTTAGCACGGGTGTGTGGAGAAGCAGTGGTTCTGCTGCTCCTCCATATTACGCGAATGTTGGTCATTGGTCACATGTTTTTGTGAATGGGGCTTCACATTGGGTCGCATTTGAGTGCTTGGGAGTTTACGGTTTCAAACAAAATAGGAATTTGATTTTGTCATTTGATATGGGTAGTGAGGTTTTCAAAGAAATGATACTTCCGGATAGTGTTGCTAATGGCCGTAAGCTGAATTTGTCCATTGCACTTTTTGGGGAATCTCTCTCTGTGTTCCATTATGATGATGGTTATTGGAGTACAAGTAAGAGTTGTTGCATATGGGTGATGAAAGAATATGGTGTAGAGGGTTCGTGGACCAAATTGTTCACTGTTGATCTAGGAGGAATAAACAAGGTTTTGGGATTTAGAAAAACAGGTGAAGTTCTAGTGGAAAAGAGTGATGGAGAGCTGGTTTCATATGATCCCAATAGCGAAGAAGAGGTCGAAACTGGAATCCGTAGCTGTCAATCCTCGCTTCACTTGGACACTTACATGGAAAGCCTAGTTTTACTCGGAGGAAAAAATGAAGTACTAATGGGAAGAGAATGTAACAGTAATGCCTTTACTGAAAATTTTGGAGAAGAGGATGGAGTTAAGGAGGCAGACAATGTGAATGTACTTCGCAATATTTGGACTTCTTGTCTTGATTTTTGTTGTTTTTATCCTTGGATAGATGAGATGAGATTGACCTTGCTATGTATAGACTTAAAAACTCAACTTTGCATCACAGCATGTTTCATCCAGCAAAAGTTGTTGCCTTTGTTAAGCATGTAAGGGGTAGTCTTTTGTTATTTTAACATCTACATCTGCAGAAATGTATAGGGTTGTGCGGTGTTCATTTTCAGATTCTCCAATGTTGTAAATGTTAGATGTTCTTGGTATTTTTCATATATTTCACGGGCGTTGCTCTTTTATCTGAACCAATGTTTGCGAAAGTAGTTTGAAAACCTCAAATTGACTCACCAAAGTCTTTCCCAATTATTCAGTCTATGTAATTAGCTCAAATTAACCCAATGTTTGCATAAGTTAAATGATTTCTTTTTTGTCATTCTGCTCTAAGGTTTTAGGTACCACTCTCAGCATGACGAGGAATAGCACTTCTCAATACGTTGCTTGTCATTGGCCAGGCTTTTTGTGAACCTCAAAACTCAACCCTGCGCCATGTGCCCTTTGCATTGTGTCTCCATCTTGTCATTTCATTCACAAACACGCACTCACACACACACATATGCACAGGCCAACCAACTCATTAGTGGCATTCTTGTAATTGATATTTATCCAATAACTCGTGTGGAAAAGACGGTGAGTTAAAATTTGCACTTTGCTGGAGTTAATTAGCTTTATTTTGGGGAAAAAATGCAGCAATTCTGTTTATGTTTGCACTTAGCATAATCTCTGACCATCAGTAGCTGATGTTTTGCTTAATATGTCATATGGATTACAAATTATAATGTGTATTATTTTCGTTTTAGGTCGAATTTGTTGATTCTTGGATACGCAAATATCAAATGGGCTACAAAGCATGGGTGTTTAGTATTGATTGAGCAAAGACGGGTTGGATTTGTATAGCGGTATCTGAAAATATTTATATTATTTTCGTTCTCGGTGTTTTGATGAATATGACATATAATCATCTCGTGTTGCTCTTCCATGCTATTTCCTCCCCTCAGTTTGGATTTTAGTGCTCAAAATTTTCCTCAGTTTAAGGTATTTGCATTGATTCACATAACATCCTTAGCATGTATTAATAACAGAATACTGTAAGCTAGCTGATATCCATGTGGCTTGTATATATCTTCAGTTATCCACCCTTACCATCTTTAGAATCATTATCTCCTTTTGACTCATTATCTTCCAATAGTATTCTGTTATTATGTATTGGTAGAAAATCAAGTAAGAATGTTTTTTTAGTTCAATGTTTATTATTTATTTATTTATTTATTTATGTATCCAGGTGCTGTGTCATTGATAATGGTTACTAATTATATTTGAAAATCTCATGGAAAATCTGATTTAACAACTTATTGCCCCTTGCACTGTATTAATTTTCTTATTATTTAGTTATCATTGCTGTATTGTTGGCACCTGATGATATTTCTTAAATAAAGTTGGCTATTTGTCTCCAATCTACTCTGCTTATTGGACCTTCAATTATAGTTGTATTTGATTTCTTTCTTGGATTTTAATTTGTACCGCAGATGACTAGAAATAAACTGCTGTTGCCACTCACAGCATGAATAAGAGCATATATTCTTGGCTTTGCATCTGGTGGAGTTTGATTTCAGATTTTATTTAATTTTTATTTTTTAAAAAAAATAACATGACAATTAACAAAGAGTGAGAATAGAAGTACAATAAAGGTACATAAATCAAGATTCAAATAGCATGAGATTTAAATAGTACATCATTGCTAGCAAAAATTATAGTAAAGAAAAATTAAAAAATACAAAATATAAACATTAAGTATATAAAATTACAGTGAAACTTTAAATAAAAAGAAGATAAAATGTAATACTCCTAATTTTTAAAAGTATATAAATGGAATTTTATAATTTATTTTATTGCATTTTAATTGATTATGTGGCTATTTGTTTATGTGACTATGTATTTATGTACTTATGTGTCTATGTGCTTAATTGATTTGATTGTTTTGTGTGAATTATGTGCTTCATGTATGTAGATTTGTGCGTCTATGTGATAAAATGTGTATTTGTTTATAATTATGTGTTAGTTAAATGTTTTGATTGTTTATTTTATTTTATTTTATTTTAAAAAGAGTGGATTTAGACAGTAGTAATGGACCAACAAAATAGGTCCCGTGGACTACTTGGATAGGAGACTAACTGGGTAGGATTATGACCCATGGCCATTGGTTCAATATATATATATATATTGATGTGTATATATATTTATATATATGTGGATATAATGATGAGTAGTATTATTATTAATACTAATGGAAGAATGAGTTATATATATAGATATTAATGTGTGTGTGCGCGTGTGTGCGCACACACACACACGTATATATGTGTATTATTACGGTATGTATTATTAGTATTTTTAATTATTATTACTACATGAAAGTTTTGGGTTATATATATATATATATATATATATATATTACTATCGAAGAATTGATATAATTAGAATTATTATTACTATAATTACTTTTATTTCTTTCTTTTTCTCTAAGTCTAAAAGTGTGTTGTGTCAGGATTAGTATTACGGTTATTATATTAACCTATATATTATGTAATAAGTCTGTAGAAGGGGGCTAGGGTTGTGGTTTCACGTGAGAATTAGAGATACAGAGGGTTAGAGGAAGAGAGAAATAGAAAGGGAAAAGAGAGGTTTTGGCCTAGGGGAAGGTCGAACCAAGAAGGAAGAATTAAGGAAATTGTGCGTGGGGTTGGACCGGACTAGCGGTGCACGACGGCAACCCGAAGGCTATCGGCGTTAAGTAATTGGCCGAAAAAGAAGGAGTTGGGTTTTCATTCCGAAATCCATAAAAGCAAGTTCTTTGTTCCACTCCTCTTCTTTGATCTGAGGTTCAATGCGTGTTTAGGACTGCTTTAGGGTGATTATAAAAGATTAATTAATCTGTTTGCATACTTTAATCGGATCAAAACATGAACTATTATGTGTTTATATGTGTTTTTAATTTTATGTGATTTTGAAGAAATTAGTGCAAAATTCTTTATTTCAATGGTTGGGGATTGTGTATCTTTGTAATAGTAATCATATTAGACTTAGAGACAACAATTTAGGACCCGAACGGAGGAGTTGCAGGTTTGAAACAGATGAAGAAGACGAGTTGTTTCGGTCAACCGATGGAGTGTATTGGTCGACCGACATGGGTGTTTCGGCCGACCGGCTTTTGGTTAAGCGGTGATTGGGTATTTGGATAGCGTTGTATTGTTATGTATTAGTAAAATTATATCGTACATTATATTAATTTGTTGATACATATTTTATCTTAAAACTGTTATAATCAATAGTACACGTGTTATGAGGTTAATTAATAAATAACCACTTTTAGACACTAGTTAGTGAACCAATAAGATAATGATGTATTGGTACTTTAGCATGAATATTAATATAACGTGTAACGTGTTATGTTGTTAATTAATATAACCACTTTTAGATACTAATTAGTGATTGGTTGGTTTTACCACTTTAGTAGAAAATAAAGATAATGTTTAAATTGGTAGTAATGTGGTATTTATTTTAATACACGTAATTGGATTAATAAATAATTTTATTTAATTATTAAATTGTAAATCATTTTTGGGATATTATTATATGTATTTAATTAAATTCATATTATTAATTATGATTTAATTATATGAACGAATGTCCTTGTGATATATAAAAATGGTCTATGACTGTGGTATTTAATCTATCTCTAATTTATATTTTGTGGATGAGATTAATGTTTGTATGGGATGTGATCATGGAGGTAGCTAATAAGCTATGCACCATGATAATATATTAATATGATTGGATTGTATGGATATGGAAACCTTTGTTTGGTTATATTACGAATTAATGCACAATTATGGGATGGGATTAACCATTGAGTTAAGTCCTACTTATTTGTGCCAGGTCAATGGAATAGTTGGATGGCATGCCATTAAAATAATATGGTTGGATAGTTTACTTTTTATGCTTTTGGATAGGATATATTATATATGTATGGACATATGTCACAATATGAGCTTGAGTCTCAAGATTGGTGGTTAGAGAACGTATATTGCTTAGGATGTGTAGTTGAATATAGTGGATAGTTGTATGCCTTAGTAGGTCTAGGTATTCATGCCCACTATATGTGCGTTTTGCATGTTGCCTACTATTCAGGTTGAAGCAACCCTATAGTCCAGTGAGGTTCCTTTAGTGTGTATCTATATTTATACGGACTACTTAGCTATTGCATGAGTTTATTAGGATGTATTCGTTCCTTAGGTCTCTGTTAGATGTAGTAGAAAGAACTTGTATGTGGGATATTTTCCAAGTTTATGTAGATCATGCGGAGCAAAAATCAGTTATTATCATTCTTCCGGATCTTCTACATAGGATATTACTTTATATTTCAGTATTTAGATGTAGTCAGTTGTAACTGTTGTTTATCAGTTTGGGATTTTTTAGGGGTCCACACTGTATAGATTCCCGAATTGTATTTTGGAGAATTAGATGTATCATAACATTTATTATTTAATACAAATATATTCTGAGGATTTAATAATATTAGATAATCATTTTAGTTTTCTTTTCAGCATTTTACCTATTCTTATTTATCCTTTTGTATTCTGTATTCGTTTATTACTGATTTGTTTTTGATATCTTCGGGTATTCGGGCATGAGCCTGGCCAACCTGCATTCGAAAATCTGGGGGTATCACACAAAAAGAAGAAGGTAATAACACATACATTATACACAATGCAAAAAGAATAATCTTAGGAAGAGGGGGAAAAAAATATCAAGGGTGTTGTAACCGAAGTGATATCTCCTCTACTTTTCAAAGTGAGAGGGGAGGGTTTAAGTCCCGTTGGGGCAAATTGTTGCGCCATTTTCTTGCCAAATTTTTTATTTTATTTTTTCAAAAGGAAATAAAAAAAGGAAGAAAAAGCAGAAGAAAAGAAAAATGAGAGAAAAAAAAGGATTTGAAGAAGGAATCAAAGGAATTTGAAGAGGAAAATTAGCTATTAAAAAAAATAAAAATAAAATTTGAGATATTTTTAGAAGGCAAGGCCTTGTCCCTCATTATTCATCATAGATGTGCTTATTTGTAAGTATTATGACAAATTGCAAGAAACACACTCACTCCACTGAAGCACACTTTTTTGTTCATATCTGGTTGAAACTCCACCCTATTTGGCTAGATAACTGTTAGTGTATGCTTTCTTTTTTTTACAAGGTAAGAAGGATTAAAAGTTAGATTAATAGGTGTAGATAGTCAAAGCCCGACACTTCAAAGTCCATTAGAGGCACTAACCCACTGGGCTATTGAGGCATTTGCCGTTAGTGTATGCTTAATCAATAAAAATCTAACAAATCAGTTTGATGGATTTAATTTTTAGCAGTTTTGATTTTTTATATTTTAAATACTAGGACCAATTTTATTGTATGATGAATTTTTATTAGTCAGACACATCAATGACATGGCATGCCACTCACCCAATATATTCTCTCAATTAGGGTATTGAACTTTTTTTGAAATCTTTATCATGTGTTGTTTGGAGAGATCAAAAATGATTTTAGATTTAACAAACTCTAGAGAGTGGACTAAGGCTCCAGAGTATTGCATTTAGAGTTAGAATATGTTGGGTTGTATTTTTTTTTTCTTAGTTGGTACTCACACACACATGTCTATTCTGAGACTTGAACCCCCTAACCTCCCTTTGGGAAGTAAGAGACTGATACTGCTAAGCCACTGGTCCATTGGTTATGTTTGGTTGTATGGAATTGTTGAGTCATGTTGATATATACTCCCTCCGTTTAATATAAGTGTCACTTACGGAGAGTAGTAATTTTTAAGGGAACATGTGAACATGCATTGTTTGCCTGAAAAATTACTAATTTATCCTTTTAAGTTTTGAATATTTAAGTTTGAAATTTAAACTCAAAGAATATTTTTGGAATAATATAAAATATATTGTTTTGAAAAAGGAAAGTTGACACTTATTTTGGAACAGACAAAAAAAGGAAAGCATGACACTTATTTTGGGATGGAGGAAGTGTATATATATATATATATATATATATATATATATTTTAAAGAAACCTCTCCAGATTGTTGCCGCAAACTTCTTTTAAAATTACTTACAAATTTGCTATTTGATTTGAAGTTTGATTAAATGATTTTTAATATTGAATAACATTTAAGAACTTCATCAAAATCGTGTTATTTGATTTGAAGTTTGATTAAATGATTTTTAATATTGAATAATATTTAAGAACTTCATCAAAATTGTGTGTGACAATTAAGATTTGTCTAGTACGCATTTTGTTTTTGTTGTTTCTGTTTTTGTAGGGTACTGTAGTAATGAACCGTGGGAAAATATATTTGATAAAAACTGTTTTATTTTGTACAGTACCGAAATGTTTCGAAAATAGTTGTCAAAAATTGAAACATCAATTTGATGTTTTGATATGTTTTCGAACCACAAAGATACTGTAATAGTGACATAACAATATTCTCTAAAATGATATTTTAAAACTACCTATCATGTTTTTTAAATTTACCTCAAGAACTCTTCATTTATATCTGCGCAAAATTACCGATCAAGACCATCGTGCTCATCAGATGCATTCGCAAATCATGGAATACAGTAATCAAGAACCCTAAATTCATCACAGAACACATCAATCGAACTATTGCAGACAACATGACTCAATTGCGACTCCTCAGGTACCACTTTCAGCATGATGAGGAAGAGCACTTCTCGATGCGTTACGATAACGAAACATTTGATGAATTCATGAGTTTTGATAGTTGTTTTGGTATCTGTTCACACCGTTATTACAAGATTGTAGGTTCAATTAATGGTCTGATTTGTTTGTCAGACGATTTTTTTATTAATAGTAGCGTTGTTATTATTTGGAACCCAGCCAATAGAAAGACCTTGCATGTTCCGTTTCCCCCTAGTTCATTATCAGGTCGTATTCATAAGTGTGTTGTTAGGTTTGGATTCAATTCTTGTACTAATGACTTCAAGGTTGTGAGAATTGTGTATTTTTGGGATTCGGACATGAATGTATACAGAGTTGATCCTGAGGTTAAGGTTTATGATTGTGGAGAAGTAGTAGGACTGTTGTTCCTCCGTATGAGATTATTAATCCCCGCCATTGTTCACATGTTTTTGTTAAAGGGGCTTCGCATTGGGTAGCATTTCAGCATGAGAAGGAACAAAATCGCTATTTGATTTTGTCGTTTGATATGGATTCTGAGGTTTTCTGGGAGATGATGCTTCTAGCTATTGTTTCTAATGGCCGCGAGTTAAATATGTCAATTTCACCTTTTGGGGAACCTGTCTCTATTATGACGATGGTGTTTTGTTAGATAGAAGTTATTACAATATATGTTCCATGTGTGATGAAGGAGTATGGTTTTGTGGAGTCTTGGACGAAATTATTTACTGTTGATTTAGGAAGAAAAATAGACTATAATATATGTTCCAAAGGGTTTGGTTGGAAGTACTTTAGTAATCGGCGCTTTGAGAGGGAAATTTCGTGTTTATTCACTATGAGGCAGCAGGAGGGAGAATGCCTCCGAGCCTTTGTCACCAGATTCAATATGGAGATGAACACGGTAATTGATTACCACCCATCCTCAACAGTACAGGCATTTAAGCTCGCCATGACGAGAAGGACTCAGTTCCACACATCCATGGTGGTGGACACACAAAAAACCATAGATGAACTCAATTCAAGAGCACAAGGCCACGTGGGTCTCGAAGAGGATGAGGCAGTCAATTTAAGGAGGACCACAATGGTTATAGTGGAAAACAAATCAAGAGCAAAGATAACTGCTCAGAGACCCTTAGTATCACAGTCCTGAGTGACGCCTTGGAAGGCAGAAAAAGGCAACGAAAGGATGAGATAGTCACACCACTCAAGGTCACTTTGGCAAGGCCGTATCAGGAGGTCAAAGGGATGTTCCAAACACCTCAACCGATTAGACAGCCGATCGAACAAAGAGATCAAACCAAGCACTGTGCGTTCGATGTGGTGGTTGTCCAGAAAAAGAATAGAAAGTGGAGAGTCTACATTGATTTCAAGTTCACACAGATACCTAGAAATGGGAACTTTGAGGCAGATCGGATGGCATGCAGTGCATCCGGTTCGGCTGATATACTAACCATGGTCGTACCAGTTGACATCCTCTACCTCTCATCCATCACTCCATCCCATTTTGACCATTTGCAGGTCTGCGGGATACCATATGAGCCAAGTTGGATCGACCCTATCATACTGTACTGTGACGACCCTGGTTTTTAGGCCAGCGTATCCTGTGATGAACCGAAGATTGACCCGATAACGGATCCGATATGCGGAAGCGAAAACAGAAAACAAGACTCTAAGAAGTCAAAGTGACCTTCCATGAGGTCGTGGAACTCAACTAGAACTGATGCGGAAGCAAAAGATCGAAAATATGACAAACAAGCCCCCAGGGGCAAAATAGTCATTTTTGAAAACTGTAGATTCGGGTGCCACCGAGCACACCGCTGGAAGGACAACGAAAACCTAATTAAGATGGACTCAAGAATCGCATGATTCGGAGTCCAGACGAAGGAGAAACGGCTTGACGACGAAAAACAGACACTTAAAGCTTTAAGGGCAAACTGGTAATTATCCAGAAATATCCGGGTGTAACCGAGCACACCGTTGGATAGACGATGAAACATTAATCAAGTTCAAAAAAATAATTCACTTGAATCGGAGTCCAGACGAAGGAGAAAAGCCCAAAAGAATAATTGACGTCGCGGCGGCCTGACGAAGGGCCATGACAGCCCCATGCGCATGCCCATGCACGCCGCGCGCGCGCTGGGTGCACCATGGCTGGCAGCAGTAGCTATAAAGCTGCTGTGGGGTTATTTTTCAGAAAAATCCAGAACAGAGGCTGAATTTGGAGGCCTAGATAAATTTTTTTTGCAAAAACACAAAGAAGAAACCCCCCTTAAAATTGAGTTTTCTACGTGACTTACAAGAGAATTAAAAAAAAACTCAATGTAAAATGCCCAAAATGCCCTCCCAAGAAATCTGGTCCAGAGGGTCGAAAAAGCTGCTAAATAGAAAACTGAAAGCTGAACTTTGTAAGCAATTTCCGATGCCAAGACGACATTTTCTGAAAAAACACGGAAAAGAAACCCCCCCTAAAATCATGTTTTCTATTCAACCATGTTAAAATAAGAAAATAAAACTACAGTGAAAAGTCTACAATGCTCTTAGATCAGAATATGCAAAAAAGTGCGAAATGAATTCACAAGAGGCTCAAAACACAAACGATAAGGTTTTGCCCAGAAACGACCATGCACACAAACGTAACTTACCTATTTGGACGAGCTACAATGGTCCACGACTTAAAAATACCACCGATACAAAATCCGACCCCCCAACGGGCAAAAAGGCAAAAATGGAACTTGGAATGAAAACTCGGAATCCAAAAATACAAAACGGGATCAAATGACCGTTTGGCCCTTGGCCACACTTCAAACATGATTTATAAGACCCTATGAAAGAATGAAAACGGAATTCCCACACCCGATGCAACCATGGTGAAGCAATGACTTGCGATCAAGATTTTCATAATATTTCATGAAGTTAAAAAGTACATAGAATATAATATACATGTCATTGGCCTCCGGCCTCATCTCATATATATCAAATACATTGAACTGAGTGTACTTAAGTACACATTACATACATGGAATCAAATATACATATTTTGACATATAAGTCTACAAAATGACATTTCATGCCAACATTTGCATGAAATGGAAACTTGAAAGCTACACGACATCTAAGGAATGCTAGGCGTCACGAACCAAGTCTTCGTACCTGAAATATGCCCCAGTATCGTAAGGGTGAGTAACATAAAGCTACTCGTAGGAGAAGAGCATGCATCAACCTAGTATTTTACAAATTTATCACCTTAAGGTGAAACATGTTAAAGGGGCTCATGCCACCTAGCGTCATTGTCCAAGTAAGACTCGGGGAACATCTTAAGCTACCTTAGAGTCTAAGCAACAAGAATCATGATATACATACGTGTATGAAACGAATCATGGTTGGGATAATCCAAAGAACACGACAAGAAGAATGCTTGAGCATAGATTAACATGAATTACATTTTCAATACAATTGAACTAGGTTTAGAGTAATCCATACAACATGACAAAAGCATATTTGAATACAAGTTAACAAGAATCACATTATCCATGCAATTCAACAACAAAAAAACATGTTATACAATGCAACAAGGTTTAAGTTCTCAAAGCCATCAACTTAGAATCTAAAGCACAAAATAACAGTAGTGGTTTATGCCACCTAACGTCTATGTTATAAATGAATCAATAGGATCAATCCTAAGCTTTATTAAAACGTCAAAACACGATTTTCAATATCGATGCAATTTAACCAACATTGGAACTTTCAATACAACGCATAAAGCACAATTTCGCAAAGTTAACATCATGTAACTTAAAATGGAACGACAAATAAGAAACAACAAGTTACAACATCATTTAGTTATCAACTTAAAAATGAAATGCAAAATCAACAAAGTGGATACTCGGACGTCACGCCAAATCAGATCGACAACATAGTTACTTTAGGGTTACTAGCCTATGGGTAACCTCCCTATGTGCGCACTAGACTATATATAGAGGGACTATCCCCCGTACTAGAACCATGTCCTAGCCATAGTTAAACAACGACATCCCCAAATTTCCAAAATCAACAAGTTGTGCAACAATGCATATATCAACAGGAATATGCAAGATAATCAACTATCTACTAAGCACAACCAAATTTGGAAACCTATACAATACATGCTCTAAATCCACAACTAATATGATATGATGAATGTCGAATCTTCAGTGTGCGATTCGTTACACGCTATGCATTAAAGATGTTAAACACGAAGTGTGCAAATCATTACACAAGGCAACTATATATTCAATAAGGAAAATATATTCTCATGAACACAAACATAGCAACTATGTTATTCAATGTTCAAAACATAACCAAATGAATATACAACAAGTCTAAGTCCATGATTTGAATATAGAAACCACTTTTAAAACACAACTAGATCATGGAGCAAATTGATAGAATTTAAATAGATAAACACAATTAAATTCTATAGATTCTGATTCAATTCCAATTAACCTCAATTTAACACATGTTAAAGGACATGGCAAGGTCATCACCTATATCCATTCTAAAACTCAATTAGATTGTTAGAACAACAAAGTAGAACTTTAATTAAATCATGCTAATTTAAATCTCAAGGTTCTAAAATAATTTCAAATAGTCCCAAATTAATATATACTAGTAAACAAGTCATGGCCAATACAAACATCAAGTTAAAACCTTAATTAAGCTAATGAGACCACAAAATAGATTTTAATTAATTCTTTTAATTAAAATCTCTAGATTTTCAAACTTAACCAAATGCTCTCAATTTAACATATTTTAGAGAACATGCCAAGGACTAATGTAATATCACATTACAAGCTTATTTCATGCAAGTTACACCTATGTAAATTAAACTTTCACTAAAGTTAAATATAAAATAAAGGTTGCAATTCTCATGCAATTAATCCCAATTTAATATATGTAAACAACCACATCAAAGCTTAATTTTCTAGCATGTCACAATTCAATTCCAAGTTGTATATCACCATGAGGATTAAATCTTAAACAAGGAAATTAATTAAATGAAATGTTTCAAAACCTCACCGAATATTCTAAATCAAATATATGTGAAGTTATATGGCATGTAGATCAAGAATATCAAGTCAGAATTCAAATGGAGTGAATAGTGCACTCGGGGCAAATTAATTAATCAAATTAATTAATAATTACTAATTTTCAAAACACCTCCAATTACTTTCAAATTCAACTATGTTGAAGAGCATGCTAAGGCCTAATATAATATACTAACACATATTAATTTCAAGTTAGTTAAGGTCACGTGAATTAATCTTTCACCTAAGATAAATATTAAATAAAATCTTTAATACTTATTCAAATGTTCCAATTTTAATACACGACAATGAGCATATCAAGGGGCAATATAAAATCATGCTACATATTTAAACCAAGTCATGAGCAACCGGGAAAATTAGATCCCGTACAAGAAAAATAAATAATAAAATCTCTAGATTTTATATTTAATCATGCAAACAAGTAGTATAAGCATCACAAGCATGCTATATAACAAGAATTTAAACCTAGAACATCTCCTACCTCAATTTGAGATGAAAATCTCAAAAGCCATCAAAATGGAACGGCTCCGAATCTAACGAAACTACTAGGTTTTGTTGGGGACAACGC